TTAATTATGGACTAAATGGATTTAATTTTCTATCGACGACAGGTCTTGATAAAATTTTATTTTAAATTCAGGAAAAAAAAGTACACTTGGTTTATTATATGAAAGGTGACAAGAACAAATTTTCTCGAACTACTTTTTGCTTACTGCATATTTTTTTTTAATTTCAAAAAATATTTCTTAACTACCGGTAATTACACTGTACTTTTTAATGTCATCAAAATTACTAACAATCTGTGAAGTTAATTAAATTGTAATTGTGAGCTTTCATGTTCACCAGTCTGTGAAAAGAAATTAACATGGTGTGCTTTTAACGATATCATATGTCACATGAAATATACACTTTATTTGTTTTGTTATATTTACACATGTAGATTTTTTTTTTCCAAATACATTTCCCATTTTTTTTTTGAAATTTTATTTTGCGTTTCCAATTATTATATTGTACTTTCTTGACATATAGTTTAATATCAATAATAATTTTCAAAACATGTGTACATTGTACTCCTATAATGTTTCTTTCTAATCTTATATGAACAACACAGAAATTACAAATGTAGCTTTCAATGTTTATCTAACAGTGTAACAGACATCAACATTGTAAATTGTGTACATAATAGGTGAAATGCATCATGGGAGTAACGCCATGTTGTACACATGTTGCTGAAGTAATCACAGTTATAGATTTTTGTGTGAATTTTCAATAGTTGCTTCTCCCCCTGATTTTATGCTCAAGTCTCTCATGTGATTTTGTTTGTTCGACCAAAAAAAGTTTCGAGTACATATAGGCAATCATATTCAGATAGGGTAGGGTTATCAGAACCGCACATATTTTTTTATTTGACCTGATGCAAAAAGGGTGTACTGGTAGCTAGAGATTGGAGATTTTTTATTAGATTTTCTTTATACCTACCCCTCATATGCAATCATCCGCAATCATCACCTTCAACATGTACTTTTCTAATTCCCAGGAAGTAGTGAATATTCACCAGATGATCCCAAGACAAGCACGCCTATAAGATTATCACCAACGCATGCAGCCATGACATCATATCCATCATCAGCACTTACCACCAGATCCTCATCGGTGTCACCTAGTCGCCATGGTTACCATAGTCCAGTGAGGCATTCTGGGAGTAGTCCTGTAATACAGAAGAATGCAGCATCTAGTCCTGGTAGTCCTGGGAACAGAATGTACCATAATTCACCTCCAAGACAGGTAGGTACATCTTTCAACTGTATGACTCATACAGGGCAATAGTTTGCAGACTATAGACCGTTTCACATATACATTTCCTAAATATGTGTGCACAGTATATCAATTACAGCGAGTCTTAGAAGTATTGGGGCAGCCAATTTGCAAACTCGCTAGCGAATTTGCTAACTGATTGGGTTTTGACTAAACAGTTGGCTTTTGAAACTCGCTGGCGCCGACTCGCGGCCGTGTCAACTCTGGGCGAGTCTAAGTTGCATTAGGGGACATACAATGTTTTTACGTAGCCTGGTAGGTACATGTCTAGATTCCCCTGAATGATTTACTTTGTTATGAGGCGTGATAATGTAAAAGTAGTTTCCCCAGTAAGCCTTAGAATGGCCACAGTCAGCTGGCGTAAAGCGAT